CGTCAACAAGGAAACAGAGAAAACGGAGGACGTTTCCACTGGGGGGCTCAGAAGGTTTTGTGGACGTTTAAGCGTAATATGAATCCTTAGGGTTTTTAGGTAAGCCGTCATCACGATCATGACACTTCCACCTTCTCAAAGAAAGATTTCTGTGCTCTCAGGGTCTACTCATTATGTCGGCTGCTGGTGGTGGTTCCATCTTTTGCACCTGACGCAGCTTCATATCCAGCAACAAGACGACTCACTTCAGGTCCAGCCACCATCCACCTACGAAGTGCTGCTGGGTCCTCAGTCAACTCAATTGCTCCTCCATCGCCTTTAATCACTGCATTGTTTTGTTCATGGGCTTGATCAATAGCAATGGCAGAGAACTCTCTTCCTGACTTGTGGACAACAAAGTTCCCCTTGTAGAACTCCCTCGCTACCTCTGGATGTTGTTGCTGAAGCCACATCATGTCTCGAAGGTGAATTGGAAGCCATCGGGCATAATTAACATTGTTGTTCACAAAGAAGTAGAGGAACAGCTCTGAGAGTGCTTCAAGGTAGAGTTTGAAATTGCCTCCCTGAATGAGCGGATCAACATGAAGATGGTGAGCTCCATGTCCAGCACAAGGTTCCAGAATTGGATCTGTGAACTCTCAAGCCTCCGTTGTTTACACCAGTCTTCAAAGTTGACCTTTCAGACTCATCAGAGCAATAGTCCTGGTATGCCTCCTTCATCAGTTTGTACAAGCTGCATGTTGTGACTTGATGTGCTAGTCTTGTCTTAGTTACACTTGATACAGACAGAAAAGACTCTGCTGTACCAGATGAAGCCACTCCTGCTTCAACAAGGGAACCGGTCCAACCACTGTCTTGTCGTGTCCCAGCATTTAAAACAGTAAGCTGTTGCAGTATGACATGCCTTTTCTCAGCTGACACTGAACCCCATGCTGGGTTGCACAGCAGTGATGTCACCAGTGTGCCCTGGTAGTGCCCGACAATCACTCCCTCACATGCAGAGACCCTCTGCATGCTACCCTCACCGAGTTGGAAAAAACATAAAACCAGTACATAAAACCAGTCATAAATAAGACAAATATATATCTGAGAGTATCAGAAATAGAAAGCATCATCTGAGCATGCTTGAAAACATACATATCGACACTAAGATCATTTAGATTGACCAACTACATCAATTTCTATAAACAAAAATCATCTTTCCAAGGTCAATTTGGCAGCCATCTTGAAAAATGGCCGCCATCTTGGATTTCCAAATGGCCAATCAGGCAGATTTGATTGATTTTGATTTTGATTTTGCCGCTAACAGAGGCTACTTTATTGTGCACCCCACACTCATCCTGTGAGTTGTAGCGCAAAAGGATTACAGAGTACAGTTTACAACGGGTCATAATAATTAACCCCCGTTGTCAGGATATTATGGCACTGAATGTTACACAGTATATCAATTACAATATTTGTTTAGTTCTACACATAAAGGGTAACTTATTCACAACTGTGTGAGTACAGGCGTGTGAGGCAGTATGTCTGGCCTCACGCTTTGTTATTCACATTTGCGTGAGAAGTATTCAAGCACATTGTGTATTTGGTTCTGTACATGAGAACTGATATAATTACTAAGTGCAAAAAAGTGGATACAATCTTAATATGTCGGCTATCTTGCCATTAGAGATGAAGTGTTGTGCCATTTCACACACAGTGTGCTTGGACCTGTCCCTAAAAGGTTCTATCTTCACACAGTCGAGGACGTAGTGTTCAAGTGTGTGGCCATATGTCTGGCCACACACTTTACATTTAGTCTTGTTTACATCTGCTTGAGGAACATACTGCCAAAGGTACTTATATCCTAACCTTAGTCTAGCGGTTACAACATCTTGTAATCTAGTGATCTTGTTACTTGCTCCATATACATGTTTCACTTGATACATCTCATCATGGTAACCTATGGATCGACTAGTGCCTGTTTGCACTAGTCTACTTGCGTCAAACTCATCAATAAGGTCTTTCCTAATTACAGTTTTAAGGGTTCTTTTTGACAGACCCAAATTTTATTCAACGGTGTCTTTGTTAGACGTGAGTTTGGCGAGGGCATCATCTCTGTCATGTTTTATGAGGCCTATGTGAGAGGGGATCCACAACAGTTTGACCTTGACACCCCGGTCAACAAGGCACGCATATGTCTGTCTGGCTTCAGAGACAAGAGCGTGACAACTTGAGTCGAGGGTGTCAAGGGCAAGTAGTGAGGATAGAGAGTCAGTGATGATGATACTGTCAGTGACAGTGGTTTCAATGAATTTAATAGCCGTGAGTATGGCAACTAATTCAGTTTGTACAGTAGAGTGGATGCCCAGTTGTTAATTCTAACTCCTTTCTCAATTATATTACCGTCAGGTTGAGTCACAACAATAGCACTTGCAGCCCTCCCACAGACGGTGTTAAGAGATCCATCAGTGTAGATGGTCTGTGTGATGTTATCATCAGTCTGTAGTGTGTGTATGTGTTCAAGAGCTCTCACTTTGGCAGTGTGTTGGAGATAAATGCTTTGTGTAATTAATTTTTTAGGCGGATATATCGGTATTGTGATATCGAAGGGAACTGTCCGCCAAGGTGGCAGGGAGCGCTGTTGTGTCTCAACTTTGTACAGGTGGTCTCGTCCAAACATCTTCATATGTGTAGCTGTAGTTTGGATCCATTTAGACTCACCAATCCCATGGTTCATACATTCTATCAATTTTAAGGAAACAATGTTATCAGGATCACCACGCAGAAGCCTCAGGGCTATCATGAGGTTGACTTCAATTATTCTATCTTTAACACTGGGTATACCTACAGTAGTTCTTTCCTCATATTAAGTACTTTAGTGCTCATGGGACATCCTAGGATAATTCTGAGGGCTTTATTTAGCATTTTATCGAGCTTGTCAACGCCTTTCCCGTCACGAAGGACCAGGGCTGGTGCGTGGTAATCTATCAGAGATCTTATATAGCCTAGGTACATTGTTTTAACAATTCTAATATTAGCACCATAGTGCGGGCTGTACCCAGCAACACTTCTAAGAGGTCTCAGTCTGTCAGTACATTGGTGGGTTAGCTGTTGTATGGCAGGTAGGGTACAAGGGACGGAGACACCAAGATATTTAAAAGAAGAAACATAGTCGATAGTGTAGTTATCTATCTTAAACTTGGCGGGGCCGCGTTTGCGGTTACCAGCTTGTTTGTTGAACACCTTAGTTTTCTCAGTGGAGATAATAAGACCGAGGTTTTCACAGGCTGCGTATACATGGTTCAGGGTAGTTTGCATTTCACGATGAGTTTTAGTATGTATAAGAATATCATCAGCATAGCTGATTGAGATATTGCTGGTATTAAATTTAATAATGCATTCATAAGAACATTGAACAAAGTGGGGCTAAGCACTCCACCTTGAGGGGTACCAAGTTGCATATCTTTAACTTCACTTTTGTAACCCTGAAACAGTGCAGCAGCCCTTCTGTTGGTTAGGTAACCACTTATACAGTGTAACAGCCTAACTCCTATATCCATTTTGGCTAGTTCGTACAATATCAGTTGCCTATTGGCAATATCATATGCAGCTTTTAGGTCAAGAAATGTGGTGTATTTGTGCCTTTCATTACCATGCACAGTTAGGAATGTGGTGATGCAATTATGGACACTTTTACCAAGAGTCTGCCAAGAACCATCCTCTCAAAGGTTTTACACAGGCAGCTGGTTAGTGATATGGGACGAAAAGCATCAGGTTGTCCTGGTTTCGGTATTGGTACAACAATACTGCTGGTCCATGATGTGGGTAGTTGGCCCTCGGCATGACTCATATTGTACAATGCCAACAATGGATTGCCCGGCAGACGCCTTAGTAGTCTAACGATGTTGTAGGTGACTCCGTCTTCTCCAGGGAAAGTAGACCTACCCCTGGCGAGGGCCGCGTCAAGCTCCCACTCAGTATATGGAACATCACACTCATAGTGCTGTTTGCCCAGCATAAAGTTAATAAGATTACTTCTCTCTACAGACTTCGCATCAAGGAGTCCCCGAGTCGTAGCTGGTAACATGTCACAGTTCGACACATGAGCCCATTTTGCTATTAGCTCATTCGACTTTTGCAGAGGGTTTGGATGGGAGACGTGTCTACTGTTTTTACCTCTGATTGTGTTTATGTCTTTCCAGGCTTTGCTGAGGGATGTGTGTTGGTTCAGGCTGTTGACATATGTCTCCCATGCATTTTGTCTGAGTTCGTTTACACCAGGGGTGGGCAATTATTTTGACTGGCGGGCCACTTCATGAATTTTGGTACACGCCGCGGGCCAGAGACTTATTATAGATGCAAATGCATTGTATTTACACAAAATAAAGCCCTGTATTTATATATATAGGATGTAAGTAAAATATTAAGTAGCATACATAGATATTTTGGGGAAATAAATACGTCACTTCTTAGCTTGTATCTTTTATTATTGATAATAATGCTAATACAAATACCAATATTAATACTACTAATAATAATATAGAGTTATGGTGCAGTAAATTTGGTATTTTAAGTGCATTAACGTAACTGTCGTAACAGAAGAGAATCGATATTATAAGTTGAAATAATTAGTCTCTTGAGACGTTGTCTTTACTCTTCCCTAGGGAGGTGGTGGTAGGGTTGAGTTGGTCAGGCCTGATCACAGCTATCCTGCTTCGTCTGGCTTCCCAAGGGAGGTGGTGGTTGGGTGGAGTCATGTCAAATTGTAGCTGTTCCTGATCGGCTGATCTATGATGTCACTGCTGCAGACTGCTTGAAAAATGTATTTAATACAGTTTCATATTTATTGTTGCTTCTTCATAAATTAAGGATAATATAATTAAGTTTTAATGGTTGAAAATAAGGAAAAAGCAAGTCAAAGCACCAATATGTAATTTATTAAAATATTTTAAAGTATGTTCATATGTCATATTATATTCTGAAATTGTTTAGTATCTTGATAAGAATATTTAACTTACTCAGTGGGACGGATGACAGCGCTGATGATTGCTGACCAGACCATTGAAGTCAGGTGTTGCCTCCGTTGTTGCAATGAAAAGTACTTGTTCAAGGTGATCATCAGTCATTGCAGATCTAAGTTTTGATTTATTCAGCTTCATTATCGAAAATGTCTGCTCACATATGTATGTAGATCCAAACAGCACAAGCATTCTTTGAGCATGAGCCTTTAGTTTCGGAAATGCACAGTCATTAAGTGAGGCATAGAATTTGGGAAGAGTCACTGTTTTCATCTGCTCAGAAAGCAAAGGATCACATTGCATTTCAATAAGCTCGAGTTGTAGGTCATTTTCAATTAATTTGAAATCATGGAATCTGCGTGAAAATTCGGCATGCAAGTCAAGTAGCTGCAATGAGTACTTCTGTACATTTTGATCACAAACTTCAATCTGTTGTAAGGTTGCAAAGTGAGCAAATTGTTTGTTCGTAATCTGACGAGACAAAAGAAGTAATTTCTTCATGAAAGCTTTGACACTGCTGTACAAATCATGTGCAAAAGCCCCCTTACCGTGTAGCTTTGAATTCAGGTCATTCATATGACCCATGATATCAACAGCAAATGCAAAATCAGAGAGCCATTTCTCATCATTCAACTGTGGGAAGTCTATAGCATTCTGTTTCATGTCCAAAAATAAGCCAATCTCTTCTTTCAATTCCCAAACTCTTTTCAGGATTTTTCCCAAACTAAGCCACCTCACATTTGTGTGATACAGAACATCCGTATGATCAGATTCCAAGTCTTCAAGCAGGGTTATAAACTGCCTGTGATTTAATCCTCTTGCTCGAATGTAATTAACCACTTTCACAACTGTGTCAACGACATGGCTTAAATTTAAAACACTCTTACAAAGGACTTCTTGATGAATAATGCAGTGCGAAAAGACAATATTTTGTTCTGCATTTGTTTCTCTGACTTGATCTTGAATTCTTTTTAGCAATCCAACATTTTTACCTGTCATATTTGGCCCTCCATCGGTGGTCACATTTACCAGTTTGTTCCATTCTACTACTAATTTCAAAAGACAATTATTTACTGCCTCCAATAAATCTTCTCCAGTTGTTGTTCCTTTCAGTGACTGCATTGATACCATTTCTTCTGTGACCTCAAAATATTTGGTGATGCCTCGAATGAAAATTAACAACTGTGCTGTGTCTCTGACATGACAACTTTCATCAAGTGCCAGTGAATAGTATTCAAAAGTCCTTACTTTCTCTTTAAACTGCAGATACATGTTCTCAGCAATGTTCTCAACACGTCTTACAATTGTTCGCCTTGACAAACATACATTCTCAAACTGGTTTTTCTTGTCTGGACATAAAATAGAGGCAGAATCAATCATACATTCCTTTATAAATTCTCCTTCAGATAATGGCTTGCTGTTTTTGGCAATCTTGTGAGCAATCACATAACTCACTTTTGTAATATCATCCTTGGATGCAAATTGTTTTCTGAAAATATTTTTCTGTTGTAATTGAACAACCATCTCGTTAGCTTTCTTCCTCTTTTGTTCATCAGAAAATTTTTCATATTTACTGGAGTGCTTGGTCTCAAAGTGGCGCTTTAAGTTGTAATTCTTTAGCATTGCCACACTTTCTCTGCAAATTAAACACACTGCTTTTTCATCCACGTTGGTAAAAAAATATTTAGAAGTCCATTCCTTGTTGAATGTTCGATGCTCTGCTTCAACTTTCCTCTTCTTAGATTCACTCATTTCCACTGTAAAATTATGGGTTGGGGCAACAACACATAAGTACAAATTCAGCAAAACCACACTAATGTCCTCTTAAGTGAGAAGCAGAGAGGAGACTGAGCTTTTCTAGTATTGGTGCTGGACGGTGAGGTCAGCGTGGGAAACAATATTGAGGCGTGGGCGTGGCCGTCCTGGTCAAATGGTCAAGAATTATGGGTCTCTCGGGTAAGGGTTCACTGACCTCCATTTGCCTAATCCCAAATCCTAATCCTTATAGGTAACCATATTTGAAGTATTCACAACAGGGTGGCCAACTCTCACATAATAATGATCCTTTCTAAGATTTAAATTTTTTTTATATATATATATATATATATATATATATATATATATATATATATATATATATATATATATATATATATATATATATATATATATATATATATATAAATATATATATATATATATATATATATATATATATATATATATATATATATATATATATATATATATATATCTTTACCCACATGCAGTGGCGGGCCACCAAAATAAACTGGCGGGCCACATTTGGCCCGCGGGCCGTATCTTGCCCACCCCTGGTTTACACGTTCCCTGACAGCAGCAAGGGAAGCTTGATACAAGTGCAACATTTGAGGTGTTCTAATTTGTTTGTAACCCTTACCCACCATCCTGACTCTAGCCCTAAGTTTTTTCAGCTGAGGGTCATTATAGCACTGCTGTTGCCTGTTCCCATTATGCTGACCACGTTTTCTCCTTTTTTTGGTGGAATCATTGTTGGTGAAGTATGCATAAGTCCTATCTATCAGATCGTCATGGAAACTTTGGTAGTTGTCAGGCTTGTGGTCCTTGTACCAGTCATGGATGAAATCTATGAACTGGCTTTCATGTTCTTGCTTGACTGTGATTCTACGTCTGTTGAGCTTACCACCAGTGGGGGTGTCATTGGCAACATGTATACTAGCTTGGATTAGGCTGTGGTCAGACATAAGATCAGTGATAACATCAGAGCTATGAGTTGTGTATGATAGATTAAAGCCAATACATTTGTCTAGACCCCCGCCATAGATGTGTGTTGGTTCATTATTACCTATAATTTGAACATCTTCATATGCGCTGAGAAGTGAGATAAGTCTCCTACCATTGGTGGCAGTGGTGGAGTCACCTAATTTCTTGTGTCTAGTATTCAGGCCACCCATCAGGACAGTGGGCTCAGTGTGTAAAAAGTCTGGGAGATCTGTGTACTGAAGCTGATCTGAGGGAGCATAGGCGTTTAGCACGTTGAGTGTGGAGTTGCCCAGGTGGATAGTGATCCCATGGTACTGAAGGTTGGTAGTCTTTTTGGATACTAGAGGTACATGCGGGAGTGACTTCTTAACATACATCAAACATGTGTGAGTAGAACTAGGATCATAATACAGTACATATAATTGGGCAGACTGGGTGGGGGCTTACCATTAGGTGTGAGACACTCCTGCAGACACACAATATCGATGTCCTCCGTCACAACTTTGTGGTGTAGGTCAGGGTATCGTCTTCTAAGGGATGAGATGTTCCAACTCATCACCTTCACAGCTCTGTATCTTTGTCTGGTATTAATACTGGCCATTATGAACTGTATTTGGAAAGAAGCAAAAGGCACTGTATGATACTGTTCTTTTCTGCGCTGCTTGTCCCTTCGGCAGGCAGTAGGCCACATAACGTTTTTGAAACATTTCTAGAGCATGTACTGCTCAATAATTGTTGTATGTCAGTGGCAGACAACAACACACTTTGGTTACACTCGACATCACCACCATTTTCTGTTTGTGTTTGTTCACCTTCACTGACCATGTCCACAGAGGCATCAGTAGAACTGTTACCAGTATCACTATTTTCATCTGCGTGGACACTAGTTCCTGGTGGGTCTTGAGTTTCCACATCTGGTACTGACATCTGAATATCTTCAGTTTGACTGTAATCTTTCCATAGCTGCTGCATTGTGTTGGTGGTGTTCCTTTTCTGCAGTGTATCACAGAGGCTCCTTAACATATCAGTTTGAGCTGAAAATTGAGCTTTGAGTTCTTAAATTTAATTTTTCATATCATTGATCTCTTCACATTGTGCGTGTTCATGGGGTGTGTTGGCAGCTACCTGTTGTGTCGGTACGTCTGTGTTGCCCCATGCTGATCTTTCGATGACTGCTGGTGATGATCCTGGAGCTTTGGTGTGGATGGTGGGCCAGGGGTTGGCCGTAGGGAGTACCCTAGCAGCAGTAGTGTTTCTTGAGATCTGCCTGGGTGGCGGGTCTGGGCGCTGAAAGGGTGTAGGAGCTCTAGGACAGTCAGGGTGCCATACAGGAACTCCAACTGTTTTGCAGTTAATACACTTCTGTTGAATGACACCCCCTTGAGCAACTATATCTCTGCAAGCCTGTGTTGCATGTTGTCTTGAGCAGAGACCAAACCACGGCTTAGTCGAGGGGCATAATCGGGCCACATAGCCCCAGTGCTGACGATTGTAATACCTCCGGGTAGGGGGCTGATAGAGAGTTACCTTCAGAGTCTGATAGGCACCACGGACTCGAATGGTCTTGGGTGGGTCCCCCGAGCCTACCCAGTCTGCAATGACTGTCGCTTCTAATCAGAACATGATCTTGTGTACCGACTCTGAACTGAAACTCAGCGTCTGGGTGTTTATCTTCCGCATCGTTCAGCCAGATATACTTGACTTCAGGTGGTATACCTACAGGAAAGTTTAATCTTACTCTCATGGGGGGATGAGGTTGCAGTTGATGGTCTCTAAGTCTTTCTGCCTTTTCGGCCTTCCGCTTGTTCCTGGACTGAACTAGTTGAAAGCCATCCTCTCCGTTGGTGTCAAGGTCAACACCATAGTCACCTGGCTCACTCAGTGCATCAGGAGAGTTAAAGCGAGTAGCTGGGTCTCCAGTCAACTCAAGACATGGTGGAGTTACAGGACTCGACCTATATGCCTACGTCAGAGGGCCGAGGACTGCTTGGCACTCCTAGGAAGTCAGCGGTGGTTGGGAGGCGTAACCCTCTTAGAGGACAAAGGAGAATGGCATCTACAGCGTATTAGCGGTGTGAGGGGAGGCCGTGAACGGGCCTCCCGCGAGCGGAGGGAGTGTGGTGTCAGTGGGACCAAGTTAGCAGGAGTATTCTCAGTTTATAAACACTTTTATTTCTTTACAATTGTTCTTAATAGTATCTCTGTTTTTCTGGTTAGATACAGTATTAAAGTCAATTTTAGTTTCAAAAGAACTATCCAGCTTGGCACACTATGAGGACGGGGGTTTGTTAATGCAAACCCTCACCACATGGCCGAGCGTGACCACAAGGGTATAAGGCCTTGCCTCGCGGGCACCTACACACGTTAGTTCACGTGTTATACAAGCAACATAGTTGCAGTTGTTGACCTATCGGTTAAGGTAATCCTCCATGTGATAGTGTTAGGAAGAACACCAAATATTCAGCACCACCCTGTGAGAATCCTGCACCTTAATTCCCAGTGTGTACCACCGTAATCTTAAAAAGATCACAGGTGGTCCACGCACACAGACTTGCTCACACACACGCTGAGGGGAAAACGTGGCTGAGGATGTTGGTGATGGTGGTGGCTGAGGATGTTGGTGAGGGTGGTGGCTGAGAATATTGGTGATGGTAGTGGCTGAGGATGTTGGTGATGGTAGTGGCTGAGGATGTTGGTGATGGTAGTAGTTGAGGATGTTGGTGATGGTAGTGACTGAGGATGTTGGTGATGGTAGTGCCTGAGGACGTTGGTGATGGTAGTAGTGAGGATGTTGGTGATGGTGGTGGCTGAGGATGTTGGTGATGGTGG